ATGAAAACCTGGGGTTTGTGTTTTAACGTGCTTTTTCCTGAGCTGTATTGGGGTTGTGTGTGCTGTCTGCCAGCTGTGGTGTGATGGTGTTGGCCATTATATAAAGTGGCTAAGGACTTCCTGAGTGTCCATCTCTTATCCAAGAGGGTAATTCAGGGTTGTCATGGGAAACGCGGTCTTATCTGCATCTCGGATTACAGCAGAAAATAGGAACATGAAGCCTTTGAAGGCCAGTTGCTGACGCCTTCAAGGTATCATCTATATATCGTACGTCTTCTATTTTCCGTTCTCAGTGGGGCACTCTGATTCCGTTTGGAGACTCGGAAAGTCTTGAACACTAACCGCTTAGCAGTCAGACCTTTCCTGTGTAGGAATGACGTAAATGTAACACATTTCTGCCAAAGAGGCTCTGTCTGTGCTGCTTTCACTGTAACTGCAGGAACCTGCTTGCATCCAGTAGAATAAAACTCTACTTTTTTTTCCCTTTTGAGTCAAAATCCTTGACTGACTTCCTGGATATGCTTGGTCTCCGAAAAAGGGTGAAATGTTTAAACTTGGGACCATGAAATCCAGAAGCTTTTTTTTTTTTCCCTGCAGCCATGTTGGACGATACGGGTTGGTTTGCTAGGCAGCTTTCTTGACTGTAGATGAGAGATGAGTGGAGTAAGAGAGACTGTGAAAAACAGAGGAGCTGAAATTTTCTTATAACTGAGCATCTTTGCTGAGATCCAGTCATGCCAGATACCCCAAGGACTCAGCCTCCAGAAGATCAAGTTGATGCACAAGGAATCAGCAGTGGACTTCCACATCTGTACCTCCTTCTCTCCATAATCTGATTTCAAACATACGCCCACAAACACCGGTGCCTAGAGATTTGTTCTAGTTGTGACTTTTTTTTTTTCCCCCCTTAGGATACAGCACCTGGGAGCTGAAATCCATCTGATCAGAGACTTGATGGACCCCACCAACCAAGGAGGACTGTACGACTTTCTGTTAACAGCACTGGAGGTGAGGAAATGTTTTTAACAGTGGCAGTTGCAAGGTGCCTTTCTTGAACAGTAGAGATACTGATGTGCTCATTTAATTTTAGAGGGCTATTTACAGGCTTAGCACAGGAGGTTATTTTCCTTCTAGTCCAGAGAATATGCTTATTGTTCATTTATAATGTGCAGATTTAATCCTGCCTTTGGGGGTAGTATAGCTTCACCTTTTGTGCAAGAGACCAGATTTTGGCCTGAAGTTCCAAAACTTCTTCTTAATGGGTTGCTCTGTTCCTTGCCCAGTCATGCTACGAACACATACAGAGGATGAGACTCCACCAAAGAGAGAACTGCCACGCGACTCACAGCCCCTGAGCCCGAGGACCCGAAGGGAGCCTCCTCCTCCACGCACTTTCTTGACCAAACACTGTTGGATGAAGAAGCGATCATGTCACTGCTGTTCTGGCTGCCTTTAAAAGGGGAAGAAGAGTTATTTATCAGATGAAGGTTTCTTGCTGGGTTTTCTGTTAGACTGGCTATGATAGTGAAGCACAGACATACAGATGCTGCGGGCTAAAAGCCTTCAATACACAACCTCAGCTTGTGTTTGGGAATGCCTTTGCGGAAAGGGGCTAAGGTTTCTTTTGCCCTGTAGTTTTATTTCACTTCCCTGCAAGTAGCAACAATCTGCCTTGAAACCTCGTTTAACTGTTCTTTCAGATGCTGTGTTTGGTTTGCACTGGTGAACTGACATAAAGGAGAAGAGGTTATTTGATAGAAAGCGGTCAAATGAAACCGTAAGAACTATTTTAGTGGGACTATTTTTGGTTGGCAGAAATGTGGCATGGACAGGAGAAGCCATCTCCATGCTCCTAAACCACCTGCTCCTGGAGTGAGGTGGCTTTTACTGTATCCATAAGAGGAAGGTTTTTCTATTCCTCTTCCTATCTATGCCAAACTCAGTACCTCTCCGTTGCATTGTAAAGCTGCTATTAACTAACTTCCTTGTTTTATGATACTTATAAATGTATATTTATACTCTGCAGATGACTCTTAAATCTCAGGGATATCACACTTGCACCTTGAAGATGCTAGTGCTGCTTTGTAATTCTGCAGGGGTTCGTGTGTGCCTAACAGAAAGGACATATATTGTCCAGGGGTGAAAAATTTCAAATCCTGGTGAGACAAAACATAAAACCACCTGGCTTTCTGCACTGACAGAGCTGCAAAAACACTGGTTTTCCTAGGTGCACAGCTTTGTGCTGACAGACCACCCACTGATGCCAGTGGGGTACAAATCAGATTAGAATCGGGCTGGGTTTTATGCTGCCTTTTTAAAAGGCAAATGGGTATTTGGTATCCTGTTCCTATCAGACAGAAATAGTAATGTCTGAATTGCATATTTAGAGCAAAAGCTCTTTTGAACTAGATTTTAACCTGTTGTTTTTTTTTTTTACAGTTTGACTTTAAATTGTCCAGGTCTGTGACTCAGGAAAACAAAACAAAACTCTACAGGCTGTTTCCTCCTGTTTATCACAAGTATTATGCTTTAATAAATAGTACACTGATTACAATAGTTAATATATTGGTATGAGAGTATCCTAATGTATGTTTTACAGTAACTTTGTATTTAAATAAAGCTGTTTAATTTTTAAGAGAGATTCCAGGTTTGCATACTTCTTATTCCAATCTTGTTGCTGTCTTCAGGCATTTGAGGATTTGCTTTCCGCTCCTTAACGTTAGAAAATACGTGGCTCTCTTACTGTCTTGATCATTCATGTGAATGGAGAATTTGAATGATAAATTAGTTTCCTACTGTCATCAAAAGAGAGACTGAATCAATAAAACATCCTTGTGGTTCTGTTCCCTGCCGAATCAGTTAAGAACATGGCTTAAACTTGAAAATCATTTCCTGCAAATAAACTATTTTTTTTTTACCCCATTCTTCTTGCACTGATCACACGAAGCCTTAGCAGGCCTTACGAAGGAGGGCTGTTACACATCTTCAGAGCTGAAGATGCTGTGGTGCAGAGACAGCTCAAGTGAAGAGAAAGTGAGAGTGAGTTGCTGAGAGTCACTTCCTTTACTTGAACACCTCTTTAGCCACCCTACCATGCTGGCCAACCTTCCTCCTTCCTTAACTATATTCCACAGGGAAGAGGAACTAACTGCAGAAATGATGTCCCTTCCCTGAGAACTGCTGCCTGGATTTTTGCATCCCAGCAAACCCATGCCAGCGGCCAAATGAGGATGTCGCTGCTGGACAGAACAGTGTCTAAACTGATCCTGGGTATATTGAGATACTGGGTTCTCTGCGTAAGAGCTAGACTTCTTCTTTTGGATTTCACACAGCAAAGCCAAGCAGTTTCAGCTTCATGGGACATGAAATGTAATGTTCATCTAAGCAAACCCTTTATAAAATTGCAATGTTTAAAGTGGTTGGTGACAATACCAGTTACACAGCATGCAGTGAGACTGGGGACTACAAGACCAAAACCATCCTTTCCTACCAATACACTGATTGTCAGCTTTAACCCACTGTTCCTCACCTCTATGAAATCTCACCTTATTCATATAAGGAAGAAAGCTCCAGCTGCCTGTCTTTGAGCATGTAAACAGCCATAAGTAACAGCTGTGAAATTTTAATTTCAGAGTTGCTTAAAACTGGCAGTTTTCCAGTCTAAAGAAACACCCTGCCAGAAGGTTGAATCACTGAGATGTAGTCACAGCTGTTTAAAAAAAAAAAAAAAAAAAAAAGGTCTGTTTTCTCTGAACTGCATTCTTCCATGCTCTGGGTACTGATTCTAATTTCAGATACCACTTTTTACTTAAAATGCAGAAATTCTACTAGAAAATAGGACATGCAAAATGCATGCACATACCAACTCCACAGAATTATCTAGAAAACAATGTGATTTTTCAGCCTATTGAAGATTTCTACTATTGCACTTTCTAAACATATGTTTATTAGTTGCTCTTACTGGTCATCTGGCTGAAAACTGAGGAAGTTCTTGAGTAAGAATTCAAGTTAGCCCTGAAGGGGCAACTAAGGTAACAGTGTGCAGCCATTTGTGCTTGTAGGTTTTCTCACAAACCAGTAAAAGCAAAAGGGATACTTCACTGGAAATACTCCTTTAGTCCAAGGGTAGCATTCAGGTTGCAAACTGTGCTATGTAACCATGCAGTAGTGCTATTTGGTGAGTTAACAGCTGGCTTTTTTAGGAGATGATATGAGGCTACTTGCTAGCTTCCCTGATTAATCAAATCTCTGCTTGATAAAATACTGTGCCTTGAAATAGCGTGTAGAAATGTGAGAGTACATTCAAGTTCTTCCTTTTCAGCTTGGGTGGATCACATGCTTAAATGATTAGTGGCAGATTTGCTACCAGGACTCCAGCTTCCTGATATGTTAAATTTAATCCTGCAGGCCCTGCAGCCATATGAAGGCTGACCCTAACAGAGACTTTCAGCTTTACAGAAATGCCATCGTATAGGAAAATAGTACAATCAGCATTCCATGTCCAGGCTACAACTACTGAGCCATCTCAGGGGAAGCTTCAAGGGAAGCTAACTAAGTAGGGTCCTCTCATATTTAAAAAAAAAAAAAAGGAGAAAGTCTGAGCTGTACCTGGAAGCAGGGCATGTCGTAAAGTAATTTAGGTGTGACCAAACAAAGCGAGATTAGCTGCCGGAGCCTGCAGTACAGGTTAGCATAAAAATCTAACAGTGTGTACAGTGCTCTCAAAAGCAGAGGGAATATGGTACAGACCACTGCAATCTCAGCGTTTAGCCCTGACAGACCTAAGCTTGATCCACACGGAATTTCTGTTCCCTTTGCCTGAATGCATACTCACCAGCTTGTAATACAATACTAACATGATTTGGGTTCTTCCTTTATCTGAGATTTTTTTCCTGTCTAATTACTCTAGCTACTCAAATGCTGCCAACTTAAAAAGTATTCAGACTTCTTATGAATGTACTCTCTCCCCACTCTATATTAAGGCTCTCTCTTTGTACTTAAACTGCAACAGCTATTAGAAAGGGAGGAGTCAGTCTTCTACAAACACCCATTTTGCAAAAGGTTCATTTTACAAAGAACTGAATAAATAGGAAGTTAGAGTAGCGCTGTATCTATTGCTGCTTTCAAGTGGTGGAGCAACGCCTCCGGAGGTGGAGAAAGTGATGTCAGGTCTAGTTTCTTGAAATCTTCATTAGCACTCAATGATGTTAACACCTTCGCCGTCCTCTTTAAATCAAACACTGCATGGAGCATGCCCAAGGTGGAAATGGCAGCTTTTGGAGTGTTCTTTGCTGAAGCTTCATCATCAAGGCCCTTTTCCAAGACAGAAATCCTGTTCTCTGCAATAATTTTGAGGAAGTTGTAGAACTCCTTGTAGTCTATGCCTGTGCAAGACTTCATGATCAACTAGGGGGAAAAAAAAGCATTGAAATGGAAACAACTCACTTTTATTTACAGTAAGAATTACAAAAACATGTTTTATCAAGCTAGTAACTACACGGAATCATAAATAACCGTGTTTAATCATATTTTTTGTAATTCCCTGCTGGCACTAAACTTCTCTACCTAACTTGCCATGCCACTAGTCCTAAAAGCAGCAGTCTGTTTCTTCTAAGTATGAAATGGCTGTGTTTTTGGAAACTATTTTTGAAGGATATGAACCTAGCAGCAGTAACAGTCTCCAGAAATAAACTCTGTATTTGTTTACATGCTTAATATTTTGGAAGCATACAAGATAGAACACTGCTCAGCATAGTGACGTGTTCTGAAAGCATCACTTTGCAGACACAGACACTTGCTGCCATCTTTACCTTAACTGTGCTTGTTTCAGATTCACTGTTTCATCATGAATGGTCTTCAAACCAGTTCTGTGTGGGGCCTGCCTTATCAGTTCTTCTGTTTACATGAAAAAACACATTTTATAAAGGTAAACGTAAATACTACATAAAGGATTGATTTTTATGCTAACACTACCCTTGACAGTTGAAGAGGAGAAGTCGAAGAATTAGTTTTTCAGACAACATCCTAACCTCCTTGACATAGCAAATATGCACTGGCACAAGCCTTTCCTGAGCTTACTAAAGTAATATCTGATTTCCTGAAAAATGAAGTTGTCACCAGTTCCTATTTCCTTATGAAACATGTACAAATTCCAGGTATGAGGTGAGGGTCTTTTGTGTCTTAGAGCTCTAACAAATTGGTGCAATGCACCCTGAAATATTCGATCCTCTAACAGAGAGTCAGGCAGCCAGCATCATGATGTTATACCTGGCATTGTAGGTGCAAATCATCTATAGGGTCCTTCCATTCATTGATTTCCCGTTGGACAGCTGCTAATTCATCCTGCAGGAAGCACCACATTATAGCCACATTGCAGCCATTCACCCAGTTGTGGTTAATGGAAATGGTATCCTCCTGAAGGAATAATTTAAATAGTTATTAGGCTCTACATAGGAAAGTGCGAGAAAACAGCTGTAACACCACCAAAGCTGCAAAATGTAAAATTGTATTCCTCAGCAAGGAGAATGCTTCTTTGGCACCAATACTACCACTGTGCTGAAAGGCTGTCCCTTTCTAAAAATCAAATCTTGTTTCATTCTGTAAACTAGCAAATGCCTCTACTACCTCTATCTGAGCATGCCTTTTAAAGGCACAAAGGTGGGAGAAGGTGGTGGGGAGAAAGGAACAAGGTTGTTAATTTTGGTTTGTAATCATGAAGAGAAGTTTGTTAGCATTTTCCATTATTAAATTACAATTTACAGTTAGAAACCAAGATTAACAGCCTCACCGTAAGTCCATCTCACCTAGCATCCTATTTTTCAGGGACTAGCAGTATGTAATGAGGAAAAGTGTAAGAAAAGCAGACAGCTTCTTCAATTGTACACTCTCACAGCTTCTAGTGGTCAATGACCCAAGAAGCTTATGAGTTCAGGCTTGCTTTTAGCCATGATCTTGAGCAGATACTAATAGACCTTTCCTCCATGAATCTCTCTGAACGTTTTTGCAGACCATTTAGAGTTTTGGCATCCACAACATGCTGTGGCAATAAAAGTTTGATCTGATTCAAGCCTGCTGCCTGATTATCTCTGTTATGAAAAGGCTGGTATCAGTTACCTTACCAGATTGTAAACTTGATGATGCCATCCACTGGGGATGAAGACTATCTCCCCTGCTTCCTGCACAATTTCAACAGGGGGTTGACTTTGGTTGTAGCGAGGGTAAACACTCCCGTCCTGAAGAATAGGTGCAGTCACATCAAAGGGCAAGTTGCCATGGTGGTCTTTCAGATATTCTTCCTGACCTGCAGGGTACAACAGCCATTTCTTTCTCCCACATATATTGGCTGACCAGCTATAGGAACGGAAGACATCTGCATGGAATGGAGTCCTGTGGGGCAAATCAGAGGTTTAAGTAGAGACAATGCCTAAAAGCTGTAAGATGAATTAAAGTCTCCAAGCATCAAACATACACACACAAATCAACCTTGACTAGACAAACCTGATCCCAGACTGTCATCCTCTTCATTTAGTTTTGACTGCTTTACATATTAGAGGGCCACTATATCTACATAGTATTGCAGTGCTTCTCCATCAGTTAGTTTTGAATCTGTCCCACAAACACCTTAATGTCAGGGGATTCTGTGACGTGAACTGATGAGAATACTGTAAATGCAACTTTATCACCAATGCTGGACTTAATTTTTCACCTGCAAAATATCTCACCAACTCATCAGCGCCCCTCCAAGGCTCCTGTTGACTCTGCAAACCACAAGTGGCTGATGATCCCCAGGGAGTTTCTGCTCTAAAATCTTATGTAAGCTAGCTGACAACTTTTGCAAATTTTCTGTGCACAATTCAGGTCTTTTTGAAGTGGAAAAGCACTTTTGCTGACTGCATATGGACAGCTCACATCCAGAACCAAATGAGCTGCTTGAGAAACAAGACTGGCTGGGTTCAGATACAATACTATACAGCACAGCCACACTGCCTCTGCAGCATGATGCTATCCTGAAGGACAATGTGGTAATCTCCTGTAATATTCATTTTTTTTAAAAAAGAGTATGTAAGAATGACAGAAACCACACTGCCTTACCATGAACCTTTAGGTCCCATGTAGACAAACCGGTAATCATCCACAGCTAGAGCATCCCAGTATTCATTCAACCAGTCAGATGAGAAATACACAGGGGTTGTATAAACATCTTGCACAGGGAAAGCTCTTAAAAAGATAATGTAGTGGAAATCAGTCTCAGAAAAATGCAGCATTGCTCCTTCTACTTCAGTTCCCAAAACCCAGATACAGAGACCGACTGGGTCTCTAGCAGGCCATTAATACTTTGCTGTCATCTCCTTAATAGCACTGGCAACTCCAAGTTGCATGCAAAATGCACACAATAATGCTCTTCTGTCTTCCAGGAAAGCTGTGGAGGTTAATTACTATTTGGGAGACTCCTTTTAATTATGGCAGAGACAGTTACTAATAAACACATTCTCTTTAGATGAGATGCCTGCAAGACTGGTTGTCCAACTGGATGACAAGCTGGGGGTGTGAGGGTTAGGAGGGAAGCCAGGCTGTGGGATTTTGACAATCCACAGGATATGCTGCCCCTTTCCCATCATAGGCTGCATGAGCAGACTTTCTGTAGCAAGACACAGCACCAGTGTCTGGGAAAGCAGACAAATAGGGGAGGCAGAGACTGATAGAGAAGGGCCACAAAGATGATCAGAGGGATGAAACACCTCTCCTATGAAGAAAGGTTGAGAGGGTTGGGGTTGTTCAGCCTGGAGAAGAGAAGGTTCTGGGGAGACCTTATTGCAGCTTTCCACTACTTCAAGGGGGCTGATAAGAAAGATGAGGACAGACTTTAGTTTTAAACTAAAAGAGGGCAGATTTAGACTAGATAGAAGGAAGAAATTTTTGACAATGAGGGTGGTGAAACCCTGGCCCAGGTTGCCCAGAGAGGTGGTGAATGCCCCATCCCTGGGAACATTCCAGGTCAGGTTGGACGGGGCTCTGAGCAACCTGCTCTGGTTGAAGATGTCCCTGGTCATTGCAGGGGGGTTGGACTAGATGGCCTTTACAGATCCCTTCCAACCCAAACCATTCTATGATTCTATGATTCCATGATAAATTTTCCCTATTTTAAGTCACTGGCATGCTCAAAAATGAAACAAAAGCTGATCACAAAAAAGTTGGATTAAAAGCAGGATACATTTAAGGAAGAAGAGATTTGAGTGAAAAGACGTAAAAGTCCTACACAGACATGGGGAATGGACAATGAATCCAGCTTGCAAGCAGCTGGCTGGAGAAGGAAAGCCAGCAGAGTGAAGAGAACTTTAGTGACTGGGAAGGTTAACAGTAAGGAGAATGGATAATAAGGATAATAAAGGATTGTAACTCACACACACTCACTGAATTAAATATAATTAGAAATGTCCCCCTTCTTTTTAAGGGGTAAGGTTTGCACTGTAGTAGTCAAACATAAGCCAAATGTTACAGCCACACAGTTTCCACAGGGATCACATACAGTCTCATTTAAAAGGTAGATGAATGCACTCAACAATGCCAGCCTCCCGAGGAAACAATGACTTAAGGATCTTGCCATGTGAAGTACGCCAAGAACTGTGCAGTATAAGACTGATATTTTGGTGGGCAGGTGCTAACAAACAGCACTGCCGGCATTTAAACGCTTAGGCATTAGAAGATGAGCATTAAGGTGCCGCGGCAGCTCTCTGCTGTGCACGGTATGCAGGGGTTTCCACAGTGCTCTCTTACCTGCTCAGGTGCCAGTCCTTTAGATAAAGGCACCCTCGGGATGAACGGTAGTCATTTTTAATGTACTCTTTCCAGTAATTTATATACTCCTTGAAGGGGAGCTGCTCCTTCGGGTTAGAATTGTACTCCTTGACATCACAGTTGGCAACAGGTACTACAGCCTCTCCTGAAATATAAACTCTTTGAGCCCACGTGGGGACAGAATAACTGATGCTGAAACTGAACTGCCTTAACCTTATCCACTGCAGCAGTCTCTAATATCTCGGCCCTATAATGCTAAGTACAAACACATAAAGCAACAATCCCTAGCCCAGCTCTCACTCCCAACACCAGCATTCTAGGCAAATATGATCCAGAACAGAAGTTATTTATCTAATGGGACCTGATGTTTTCTCTTAAACTATGTTAGGAGTGGTGTATTGATTTCTATTAAATATACAAATATTTTACAGCCTGAAGAGATATTTCACTGTAACTACAGAATACCTTCCCTTGCCTGAGGAAAGTGTCAGGCTGCTCCTCTGGTTAACGTTAAGCAGGTATATAAATTGATATGGATAAATTATACAACACTTTTTATTTTATTTCACTGTGGGAATAAATTTGAGATTGGAATCTGTGAAACATAAAGTACGCGTAAGTACAGAAAATGAACGTATCAACTTAGAAAAAAATCTGGAGAATTGTTTGGTTTTGTCTAGCAGGTCTATTCGTAAAATTGAAAAAAAGCTGTGTCATTTAGCATACACGTTTTAATAAGGTATTAAAAATGCCATCACTTACCAAACTTCTGCAGCAGATGATCAAAGTTAGGTTTTCCATCCCAAGTAACCCAACTTCTCCTGCTGCCCCAGTCTTCAGTGAATTTAGCTGAGAAAATACAGGGATGGTTGGGAATCAAATAATCCCGGAAAAAGTCTGAGTAAGTGAATGATTCTACTTTTTCAATAAAGTCAACGTGTCCTCCGGGAAGAGAGAATGCACCCTGAGATGAACTGTTGTAGTCACGAAAAAAGGCAGTGGAACAGGCAAATGTTGCCCTGTCCATGCAGGCTGGATACCCTTCCTGGCTTAGCCAAGACAGCGTTGACCAGATACTATTCCGTTATGCTGTGGCAAAAAAACCTCCTTTAAAAAACTTGAGTCTCTAAATCCATGAAAACTCACAGGAAAAAATAAGTGGTCAGAGGTAAAACAAGAAGTTGTGCAGGAGCATCCCACCACGCTGGGCTAATTAGGATCTTCCATGGTTTATAACCGTTAATGGTGGTGGGATATCTGACAACAAAGTCACCCTGCGGATGGCAAAGATGTTGCTCTTCCCTCATCACCTTTTTGCCAGGTCAACCATGCTCTCTGGGGATGACCAGCAAAGGCTGGTTCCTTCCTAAAACAGCAGAAACATTAATTTCAGTTAGATAATCCTGATAAACTAATTAATTGCAGCGATGGAAGGAAGGAAACCCCTTAAGTATCTGAGGCCCTGGGAAACGGCTGCTGCCCAGCAACTGTATTGGGGCTCAACCCTTTGTCAGGAGAAGATATAAGCTCAGGCACCCCCTGCCCTCCCCAGACCTTTCTCTATGGGCCAGGCTGCAATTATAGATAACAAAGAAAATCGGGGG